AGGATCGACGACCCAAATGATTCTTCATGAATGAGCCTCAAACTCCATAAATGTATGCCAGATTTCCGACATTACCCTAACTCCGATAGATTTCGAAAAAGCCATTGATAACATGCCTATGCACTCAGCCCCAGGCCCAGACTCGTGGAACTCTGTTTTCATTAAGAACTGCAAGAAACCCTCTCGCGTGCCCTAAGTACACTATGGAGGAGGAGCTTGGACATGGGTGAAATTCCACAGTCACTTAAAACAACGGATATAGCCCCACTCCATAAAGGTGGCAGCAAAGCATTAGCTAAGAACTATAGACCGATAGCTCTGACGTCCCACATCATAAAAATCTTTGAAAGAGTGCTAAGAGCAGGATTGCAAATCACCTGGATTCCCAAAATCTGCACAATCCAGGGCAACATGGGTTCAGGGCAGGTCGCTCCTGCCTCTCACAACTACTGGATCACTATGACATGGCCTTGGATGCACTGGAAGAAAATCAGAAATGCAGATGTAATATACACAGACTTTGCAAAAGCATTTGACAAATGCGATCATGGCGTAATAGCCCATAAAATACGTGCTAAAGGAATAACTGGGAAAGTGGGGAGATGGATCTTCAACTTCCTAACAAATAGAACACAAAGAGTAGTGGTCAACATAGTTAAATCGGAGGCTGCCATAGTGAAGAGCTCTGTTCCACAAGGCACAGTACTCGCCCACATCTTATTCCTTATCCTCATATCAGACATAGACAGAGATATACACCACAGCACCGTATCATCCTTTGCGGATTATACTAGGATCTGCATGAGGCTGTCATCTGCTGAGGACGCGGTTAACTTCCAAGAAGATATAAACAAAGTTTTCCAGTGGGCACGGTAAAACAATATGATGTTCAATGAGGGCAAATTCCAACTACTCCGTTATGGAAAACTGGAGGAGATAATAACTAGAACAGAGTATACTACTGACTCCGGCCATACAATAGAGCGGAAAAATAATGTAAGGGACCTGGGAGTAGTAATGTCTGAGGATCTCACTTTCAAGGATCACAACAGTGCCACGATCGCACGTGCAAAGAAAATGATAGGATGGGTAATGAGAACTTTCAAAACGAGAGATGCCAAGCCAATGATGATCCTTTTCAAATCACTTGTTCTCTCTAGGCTGGAATACTGCTGTACATTAACATCTCCATTCAAAGCAGGTGAAATCGCAGATCTAGAGAGTGTACAGAGATCCTTTACTGCACGTATAAGTTCTGTCAAGCACCTTAACTACTGGGAACGCTTGGAAGCACTTGACTTGTACTCGTTGGAACGCAGGAGGGAGATATATCGTAATCTACACTTGGAAAATCTTGGAAGGAATGGTCCCAAATCTGCACACAGAAATCACTCCCTACGAAAGTAAAAGACTGGGCAGGCGATGCAAAATGCCCCCAATAAAAAGTAGGGGCGCCATTGGTACACTAAGGGAAAACACCATAAGTGTCTGGGGTCCAAAACTATTCAACAGCCTCCCATCAAGCATTAGGGGAATTGCGAATAAGCCCCTGGCTGCCTTCAAGAGAGAGCTGGACAGATACCTAAAGTCAGTGCCGGATCAGCCGGGCTGTGGCTCGTACGTTGGACTGCGTGCAGCCAGCAGTAACAGCCTAGTTGATCAGACCCTGATCCATCGGGAGGCCTGGTCATGGACCGGGCCGAGGGGGCATTGATCCCCGGAATAACCTCCAGGTAACCTCCAGGTAAGTTTGGGTTTCTGGCCTTCTTGTCATCGAAACCGAGGTTGAGAGACAGCATTCTCTGCCTTCGCATCGGACACACTCATGTAACTCATGGATATCTCATGGAAAGGCGTCCTGTTCCACTTCGTGAGAATTATCTAGTTCCTGTGTCAATTTCCCATATTCTACTAGACTGTCCTGTCTCAGCAAGCACCCAGAATTTTCCTCCGACGTCGTCACCGCTCTAACACCCCTACTTTATCTGCCCTCCTTGCTGACAGCCATGCCTTTGACACAGACTCCCTCTTCGACTTTTTGAGAGCCACTAATAAATTTATTACACAAACTTTGATAATTCTTCCTTCAGCACTCCTCACAGCCCTCCTAACTTTACCCTTGTCTTCTCCATCCTAACATCAGTAAGCGTAATGTTTATTTTAGTTATACCTGCCCCAAAATATGTGTGTAATAATACACATCTGTACCTGTAAACTTCATACACATATTTTTTCACAACATTCATGGTCACACTTTAAATTACTGGCTCTAAAGTGGCTGATGGTTGTATGGCAGATAAGACAGAAAATGGCAACAGCAAGTAAGAGAGAGATGAAACTTTATAAACTAATGGAGGAGAAAGTTAGGGTGAGATATCAGCAACTATTGGCAGAAAGGTGGGCTAGTGCGAGTATAGGTAGTGTGGTGGTTGGAGAGGGGTGGGATAGTTTTAAAAATGCAGTGTTAGAATGCGGGGCAGAAGTTTGTGGTTATAGGAGGGTGGGTGCAGGAGGAAAGAGGAGTGATTGGTGGAATGATGAAGTAAAGGGTGTGATAAAAAGAAAAAAAGTCGCTTATGACAGGTTTTTACAAAGTAAAAGTGATATAAGAAGGGCGGAGTATATGGAAAATAAGAGAAAAGTGAAGAGAGTGGTGAGAGAGTGGAAAAGGAGAGCAAATGATAGAGTGGGTGAGGCACTGTCAACAAATTTTGCTGAGAATAAGAAAAAAAATTGGAGATAAACAATTTAAGAAAGCCTAGGGAACGAATGGATTTGTCAGTTAAAAACAGAGTAGCGGAGTTAGTAGATGGGGAGATGGAGGTATTGGGTAGATGGCGAGAATATTTTGAGGAACTTTTAAATGTTGTTGAAGAAAGGGAGGCAGTAATTTCATGCACTGGTTAAGAAGGTATAACATCTTTTAGGAGTGAAAAAGAGCTGGATGTGAGTGTGGGGGAGGTGCATGAGGCATTACGTAGAATGAAAGGGAGTAAAGCAGCTGGAGCTAATGGGATCATGACAAATGTTAAAAGCAGGAGGTGATACAGTATTGTAGTAGTTCGTATTTTTGTTCAATAAATGCATGCAAGAGGGGAAGGTACCTAGGGATTGGCAGAGAGCATGTATAGTTCCTTTATATAAAGGGAAGGGGGACAAAAGAGATTGTAAAAATTATAGGGGAATAAGTTTATTGAGTACCAGGTAAAGTGTACAGTAGGGTTATTATTGAAAGAATTAAAGGTAAGACAGAAAGCAGGATTGCAGATGGACAAGGAGATTTAGAGTGGGTAGGGGATGTGTAGATCAAGTGTTTACATTGAATCATAGACTGGTTATAAATGACCATAATTTTTAAAGGGGTGGACCGGTAAGCCAGCGGAAGGCCTCGGTCAGATGACCAAAAGCTCCAAAGGCGGGTCATCATCTGACTAAGACCCGCGTCAGGAAACATTTGTCCTGTTTCCTGACGAACCTTACCTAACCTAACCTATTGAATCATATATGTGAACAGTATTTAGATAACGGCAAGGAAATTTTCCTTGCATTTATGGATTTAGAAAAGGTATATGATAGGGTGGATAGGGTAGTAATGTGGCAAATGTTGCAAGTGTACAAAATAGGTGGTAAGTTACTAAATGCTGTAAAGAGTTTTTATGAGGACAGCGAGGCTCAGGTTAGGGTGTGTAGAGGAGAGGGAGACTACTTCCCAGTAAAAGTAGGTCTTAGACAGGGATGTGTAATGTCACCATGGTTGTTTAATATATTTATAGATGGGGTTGTAAAAGAAGTAAATGCTAGGGTGTTCGGGAGAGGGGTGGGATTAAATTATGGGGAATCAAATACAAAATGGTAGTTGACACAGTTACATTTTACTGATGATACTGTGCTTCTGGGAGATTCTAAAGAAAAGTTGCAAAGGTTAATGGACGAGTTTGGGAGTGTGTGTAAAGGTAGAAAGTTGAAAGTGAGCATAGATAAGAGTAAGGGGATGAGGGTATCAAATGATTTAGGTAATGAAAAATTGGATATCACATTGGAGAGAGGGAGTATGAAAGAAGTGAATGCTTCAGATATTTGGGAGTTGACGTGTCAGCAGATGGGTTTATGAAGGATGAGGTTAACCATAGAATTGATAAAGGAAAAAAGGTGAGTGGTGCATTGAGGTATTTGTGGAGACAAAAAACGTTATCTTTGGAGGCAAATAAGGGAATGTATGAAAGTATAGTAGTACCAACACTCTTATATGGGTGTGAAGCTTGGGTTGTAAATGCTGCAAGGAGGCGGCTGGAGGCAGTGGAGATGTCCTGTTTAAGGGCAATGTGTGGTGTATATATTATGCAGAGAATTTATAGTGTGGAAATTAGGAGGTGTGGAGTTACTAAAAGTATTAGAGGGCTGAAGAGGGGTTGAGGTGGATTGGTCATTTAGAGAGGGTGGAACAAAGTAGAATGTCTTGGAGAACATATAAATCTGTAGTGGAAGGAAGGCGGGCTAGGGGTCGTCCTAGGAAAGGTTGGAGGGAGGGGGTAAAAGAGGTTTTGTGGGCGAGGGGCTTAGACTTCCAGCAAGCTTGCGTGAGGGTGTTAGACAGGAGTGAATGGAGACGAATGGTTTTTGTGACCTGGCGAGCTGTTGGAGTGTGAGCAGGGTAATATTTTGTGAAGGGATTCAGGAAAACAGGTTAGCCAGACTTGAGTCCTGGAGGTGGGAAGCACAATGCCTGCACTTTACAGGAGGGGTTTGGGATATTGGTTGTTTGGAGTGATGCCTAAACTGTTGTATCTAAGTGCCTCTGCAAAGACACTGATTATGTATGAATGATGGTGAGAGTGTTGAACGATGACGAATTTTTTTTTCTTTTTTTCTTTCTTTTTGGATCACTCTGCCTCGGTGGGAAACGGCCGACGTGTTAAAAGAAATAGGTGTAAAACATTCTTATATAAATTAAGAGTAATTGCCTGTGTTGTTAAATACTAACACAAAATAATATATTTCAGATGTAATAGACGTGATTTTCGATGTGATTACGGAGCGTGCATCAAGAAGCTGTGGTCGTGCAATGGATATCCCAACTGTCTTGATGGTTCTGACGAGACGGCCAAAGCGTGCAAGGCTACAACTTGCAGCTCTAATAAATTTCGGTGCAAATACGGGGCGTGTATAGATATGGTAAAGTGCTACAGATTTATTATTTGTCAAAAATTTTTGTGGTTACAGAAATATTTGCCCTATTTCCTCAGGTGGATTTTGTAGTTTGTTAGGTTAAAAGCCTGTCGGTTGCACTTAAGTCATTAAAGCCTCATGTCGACTGGACACTAATACTCATGAATACATTTTTCCAGTCAGAGGGATTGGGTAGTTAACTTGCCATCACATTTCATGATGAAATACTGAATATTTTTCCCCGATACCAGTGGATTGTAGATGAGTGGAGGGAAGATTGAAAATTCCAGATAATTATTTGGAGGAGGATGGGGGTAGATACGTGGTACTTAACCACATTACAACAAATCCATAAGTTCCACGAGAGGAAGGCACAGCCAAGTTACCCCTCGAGGGAGGTTCCTTGACGCTGGTGAGGGGCGCTTGATCTAGGGAATTAGATCTGTGATCCAATTCCCTGAATTAAATCTGAATACCTTCCATCTCCCCCCACAGGCACTGTATAATCCCTACGGGTTTAGCGCTCTCCCATAATAATAATACTAATAAGAGAAAAGTTACACAAGATTTTATTGCACTGACTGAAAACTTTTTATTTTTTTTTTACCAGATAAAGAAATGTGATGGAATCGTCCATTGCATGGATTCTTCAGACGAATCGAAAGAGTTATGCGGTGCTCAGCACACTGCCGTGACGACACCTGGGCCAGTCATACTCACCCCAGTTCCTGTTACAAGTAAACCTGAAGTCCCACCAACCCCAAGACCACCAACCCCAAGACCACCAACCCCAAGCCCACCAACCCCAACGCCTTCTACAGGGAAACCCATAATAGAGGGATGCGAGGCTAACAAAATGTGCTCCTGTCCGCCGCCTAATGAACACTTCTGCGTCGCATGTGGCAGCAGCCCAGACGTTTGTGCTGGGATAGGTTAGTCTATCATTCTTCTCTTGTTATATATATATATATATATATATATATATATATATATATATATATATAATATATATATATATATATATATATAAACATGTCGGCCGTTTCCCACAAAGGCAGGGTGACCTAAAAAGAAAGAAAGAAAAAACTTTCATCATTCAAAACATTTACCATCATTTATACATAATCACTGTCTTTGCAGAGGCGCTCAGATACAACAGTTTAGTTATCCCTCCAAACAGCCAATATCCCAAACCCCTCCTTTGAAGTGCAGGCATTGTATTTCCCACCTCCAGGACTCAAGTCCGGTTAACCGGTTTCCCTGAATCCCCCTCACAAAATATTACCCTGCTCACACTCCAACAGCTCGTCAGGTCCCAAAAACCATTCGTCTCCATTCACTCCTAACATGCTCACGAATGCCTGCTGGGAGCTCAAGCCCCTCGCCCACAACCTTTACCCCCTTCCTCCAACCATTCCTAGGACGACTCCAACCCTGCCTTCCTTTCCCTACAGATTTATACGCTCTCCAGGTCATTCTACTTTGTTCCAGTCTGTCTAAATGACCAAACCACCTCAACAACCCCTCTTCAGCCCTCTGAATAATACTTTTTGTAACTTCACACTTACTACTAATTTCCATACTACGAATTCTCTGCATAATATTTACACCACACATTGCCCTTAGACACGACATCTCCACTTCCTCCAGCCTCCTCCTCGCTGCAACATTCACAACCCAAGCTTCACACCCATATCAGAGTATTGGTACCACTATACTCTCAAACATTCTCTTCTTTGCCTCCATGGATAAGGTTCTTTATCTCCAGTTACATGGTTTACCTTGTTCTTCATAAACCCATTTGCCGACAAATATCTGAAAACATTCACTTCTTCCATACTTCCTCCCTCCAATGTGATATCTAATTTTCCCTTACCTAACTCGTTTGATACCCTTCATCACCTTACTCTTATCTGTGTTCACTTTCAGCTTTCTTCCTTTACACACTCTCCCAAACTCATCCACTAAACTTGGCAACTTCTCCTCGGAATTTTCCAAAAGCACAGTATCATCAGCAAAAAGTAGCTCTGTCATTACCCGTTTTGTATTTGATTCTCCACAATTTAATCCCACTCCTCTCCCCAGCATCCAGGCATTTACTTCTTTTGCATCCTCATTTATAAATATGTTGAACAACCATGGTGACATTACACATCACTGTCTAAGACCTACTTTTACTGAGAAGTAATCTCCCTCTTTCCTACATACTCAAACCTGAACCTTACTATCCTCATTAAAACTCTTTACAGCATTTAGTAACTTACCACCTCTCCCATACATTTGCAACATCTTGCTTCCCTATCCACCCTATCACATGCCTTTTCTAAATCCATAAATACAACGAAAACTTCCCTACCTTCATTTAAATACTGTTCACTTATATGCTTCAATGTAAAAAATTGGTTTACACATCGGTGATCCTGCCCTCCGTTTTACTTCTAATTCTTTCAATAATAACCCTACCATGCACTTTCCTTTTTGTCTCCCCTTTTTTATATAAAGGAACTATGCACGCTCTGTGCTAGTCAATAGGTACCTTCCTTTGTTTAATACACTTGCTGAACAAAAGTACCAACCACTCCAAAACTATATAACCCCTGCTTTTAACATTTCTCTCATGGTTCCCATCAGTTCCAACTTTCATTCTACCCAATGATCCACGCACCTCCAACACTCGCATCCGGCTCTTCTTCACTCTTAAAAGATGTTATACCTCCCTGGCCAATGCATGAGATCACTCATCCTCTCTTCTTCAACATTTAACAGTTCCTCAAAATATTCCTGCCATCTTTCCAATACTTGCAACTCTCCAGTTCTGTTTTTAATTGTCAAATCCATTTGTTCCTTAGGCTTTCTTAACCTATTTATCTCACTCCAAAACCTATTCTTATTCTCAGCAAAATTTGTTAGCAGAATTTCTTCCATTCTAACATTTGCTCTTCTTTTGCGTTCCCTCACCACTCTCTTCACCTCTCTTTTACTCTCTTTTACTCTCCATATACTCCGCCCTTCTTATATCACTTCTGCTTTGTAAAAACCTCTCATCTAATTATACTCACCTAATTGTGGTTGCAGGGGTCGAGACTCAGCTCCTGGCCCCGCCTCTTCACTGAGTGATACTAGGTCCTCTCTCTCCCTGCTCCATGAGCTTTATCATACCTCATCTTAAAGCTATGTATGGTTCCTGCCTCCACTACTACTTACTAGGCTATTCCACTTCCTGAAGAAATACTTCCTAACATCCCTTTAACTCATCTGGGTCTTCAACTTCCAATTGTGACTCTTGTTTCTGTGTCCCTTCTCTGGAACATCCTGTCTCTGTCCACCTTGTCTATTCTACGCAGTATTTTGTATGTCGTTATCATGTCTCTCCTAACCCTCCTGTCCTCCAGTGTCGTCAGGCCGATTTCCCTTAACCTTTCTTCGTAGGACATTTCCCCTTAGCTCTGGAACTAACCTTGTCGCAAACCTTTGCACTTTCTCTAATTTCTTGGCATGCTTGATCAAGTGTGGGTTCCAAACAGGTGCTGCATACTCCAGTATGAGCCTGACGTACACGGTGTACAGTGTCTTGAACGATTCCTTACTAAGAAATCGGAAAGGTTTTCTCAGGTTTTTGCCAGGCGCCTATACGCTGCAGTAGTTATCTGGTTGATGGGTGCTTCCGGAGACGTGTTCGGTGTTATACTCACCCCAAGATCTTTCTCCTTGAGCGAGGTTTGCAGTCTTTGGCCACCTAGCCTATACTCCGTCTGCGGTCTTCTTTGCCCTTCCCCGATCTTCATGACTTTGCATTTGGCTGGACCAGGTGTCCAGCCTGTCCAGGTCTCTTTGAAGCCCAGCCTGATCCTCATCTGATTTAATTCTCCTCATTAACTTCACATCATTTGCGAACAGGGACACTTCTGAGTCTAACCCACTGTGATACCTCATCACGTACCATGACTCCTCGTTGCCTCCCTGTCAGGTATTTTCTGATCCACTGCAGTGCCCTTCCTGTTATATGAGCCTGATACTCTAGCTTCTGCACTAATCTCTTGTGAGGAACTCTGTCGAAGGCCTTCTTGTAGTCAAAGAATATTCAATCGACCCACCCCTCTCTCTCGTGTCTTACTTCTGTTATTTTATTATAAAACTCCAGAAGGTTTGTGACACAGGATTTGCATTCCATAAATCCATGCTGGTTGGCATTTATACTCTTGTTCCGTTCCAGGTGCTCCACCACTCTCCTGATAATCTTCTCCATAACTCTGCATACTATACACGTCAGTGATACTGATCTATAGTTTAGTGCCTCTTTTCTGTCTCTTTTCTTAAAAATGGGAACTTTTTTCACCCTTATCACTCTCTTTACCTCATTATTTTACCAATCACTCTTCCTTCCTCCCGCACCCACCCTCCTATATCCATAAACTTCTGCCCCGCATTCTAAGCACTACCTATACTCTCACTAGCCCACCATTCTCCATATAGTTGCTTATATCTCACCCTAACTTCCTCCTCCCTTAGTTTATATACTTTCACCTCTCTCTTACTTGCTGATGCCATTATCCTTTTTCCCCATCTACTTCTTACTCTAATTGTTGCTACAACTAAATAATGATCTCATATATCTGTTGCTCCTTATAAACATACACTTCTTGAAGTCTAACCATCAGCCTTTTATCCACCAATACATAATCCAGCAAACTAATTTCATTATGCGCTATATCATATCTTGTAGACTTATTTATCCTCTTTTTCTTAAAATATATATTACTAATTTCCAAACCTCTTCAAGTACATAGTTCAATTAAAGGTCCCCATTATCATTTACCCCTGACACCCCAAACTTACGTACTACGCCCTCTTAACCGTTTCTCCCACTTTAGCATTCATATTCCCAAGCACAATTATTCTCTCATTTGGTTCAAAACTCTCTCTCTCTCTCGCTCTCTACACATCTCTCTTCTCCAGGGGCATAAACACTTACTATAACCCACTTTTCACATCCGATCCTTATTTTTCTCCACATAGTTCTTGAATGTATACATTTATATTCTCTCTTTTCCTGCCATAACTGATCCGTCAACATTATTGTTACTCCTTCTTTAGCTCTAACTCTATGAGAAACCCCTGACCTAATCCCATTTATTTCTCCCCACTGAAACTCTCCCACCCCCTTCAGCTTTGTTTCACTTAAAACCAGGACATCCGCCTTATTCTCATTCACAATATACACAATCATCTCTTTCTTATCATTCGCACAACATCCACGCACATTCATACATCCCACTTTGACGGTTTTCTTCTTTTTCTTTTTAGTAAGCTATACAGGAAAAGGGGTTACTAGCCCATTGTTCCCGGCATTTTAGTCGACTTTTACAACACGCATGGCTTACGGAGGAAAGAATCTTATACCACTTTCCCATCGATATGAAAGGAAATAATAACAAAAACTATTAAGAGAAAATCAAAGAAAACTCACATGAGTGTGTATACATAAACATGTATGTGTAGTGTGACCTAAGTGTAAGTAAAAGTAGCAAAATACATCTATTATCTTGCGTGTTCATGACACAAAAAAGACACCAGCACTCCTACCATTGTGTAAAACAAATACTGGTTTCCGTCTTACACTCATTTGGCAGGACAGAAGTACCTCCCTCGGTGATTGCTGTCTATGTACAGGTATATGGAACATGAAGGAACTGGGGATATGTTCATAACGTCCATGAAAGTCTTCAAGGGAGGAGGGGTGAAGTTATACTGGCGAAGGGCTTGAGAGTCAGAGAAATGGCGCTGTTTTCCCATTTCTTGTTTCAAACTTAATTACCTCACATTCCCTAGGCGCTGTATGGTTAGTGAGTTACTCCATCCACTCCCTTCAGGCATCTGTATAAGTTCAGTCTCGCTGGACACAAGTTCAATCTTGTTCGACACAAATTCAGTC